AATTTCCAACGCCCGTGGATTTTAAGACCATTCATTTTTTATACGAGGTGGTTACAATCACTCTTAGCCATTAAATGTGAAATCTGATTGATTGGAATGCATCACATTATTCGAAAATTTTTATTTTAGACTTTGTACCCAATCAATGATACATTGCCAAGCACCAAATTTCATATATAACGGTCAATAATAATTGTGACGTCCTGATATCGAAAGTAAATAGTCTATATATATATATATATATATTTGGTCTAAAATGATAATGTACCAGAAAAGTGTTTGGTACAATCATTATAAAGTTGCACAATAAATCTCACCGAAGAAAGTAATTGTGTTGCTAAAAAACTTAAAAATCAATCATCTTCACCTCAAAAAGATCATGAAGCTAAAAAATAAAAAAATAAAAAAATAAAAAAAGATTTTCAAGTTCTAAAAATACGTTATCTTATAATATTTCCTTTAGAACGTCCATTTCATATATTCACATACATGCTTATTTCATATATTCACATACATGCTTCATGTATACTACCATTTTCAAAGCTTCAAATTATACAATCCAGAGCAAACATGAATTTACAATATATTTAGAGTTTATATGCACCAAAATTGTGGTTTTGATATATCTGATGTGCAGCTTCACCAAATTTTATAAGGTTGCGGCCTCACAAACATCATTCATACTGGATTTCCTATTAGATTATTTTCTGCTAAATCACAAGGTCATTTTTGTTATTTCTCAATTTACGCTTTTTTTTTTTTCACCATACTCATTTTACAATGAAGATATATAAAATCATAAGCGCATATACTACGCTTCTATGGGAGTATTATGTACATCTACTCCCTCAGTCAAAAGACCAATTTGGGAGGATTTGTTTTAGTACGGAATTTTGGGAACCACCTAAGAATAAATAAATAATTATATTCAAAAGAAAAAAATTGAATTTGGAGTTTTTTTATGCTAAAATATTTCCTTTAAAAAATTTGATGGTCTCTATCCAAATGTTGAGATTTTTTTTTTTTGGTACATATAGAGTTCAATCTTGAATTTATTTATTTATTTTTTACTAAAGTTAGTTGATGGGTTGAGATGTTGCATCCCCAATTTTTTAAGTCCTAAAATTACTCCTACATTGGGTTTTACTCGAGGGAGTAAATTGACACTACACTTCCTTGGGAATATAAAATCATTTGGCTAAAAGTATTTTGAGAAATTCCCTAAACGATTTGTTCCATAAATTCATGAATTTCACATTTGGCAGTGACATTTTTATCCAGGGAAAGTGAGATTATGTTATTGTTATTGCCCTCAAGAGAGAGAAAGTGAATACCACACACATGTATGGAGAGAGAAAGAAAGAGGAAAGAGATAGAGAAGCTAGTAGAAAATGTTTAACTATATCCACTAGTCTGTGTGTGTGTGAGTGTGAGTGTGAGTGTATGGGGGCTTCCAAACATGTTGTGCTCAGTCCAAGCTTCGAACTCGTTTCGGCAATAATTTGAGGCTTATAGACTAGGTCCAATCTAGGCCTAATAGATACGAATGCCGGGGTGGGGACCGGGCTTCCCAAGCCAAATGTACTATACTTTATAGTCCATCTATTGTCTATAACGGAAGAAATTTGTTTAGAAGTACTTGTTGTCATTGATAAGTCACTGTTTCAATAAAACTTATCATGGTAATGAATTATGTGGTGGATGCTGGTGTTCTTCATATGGTAATCCAAGATAAACTTGTAGGTGGTTTTGACATATAAGATTATCTTCTTGAAAAGTTGTTTTTATTTTTATTCAAAAAAATAAATTGTTGAAAATTACATGTTTTTAGCAAAAATTAACAAAAAAATAGTTAAAAATTGCTGAAAAGGTTAAATAATCAAATAATATATTATATATAATGCCAGGAATGTACCAAGCAACCAATAAATTAATATTATACAAAGTTCATTAATTTCAAATAAGATGGACTGCTCTAGATAAGATAAACTATCATCCAAATAAGATTATAGTCTAAATACGTGCTATATATCCTATTTATGTTTTATAGCCATCCATAGATGGAGGAAAAGTGTGGCGATGGTCCACATACTACTTCCCTTGTATACGTATTAGGGTTAAATCTACAACCCAAGTTAAATGGACGGTCCAGATGTGCCGGCTTACACCAAAATAGTGTGTCAAGGATGCACAATCGTTGGATCCTAGATTATAACCGTGTAAATGTATTTAACTTATAAAGACTATACTCCATAGATTAAACCTCTCTATAATCCATTACACTTAAAAATCCAAATTTCAAAACTTTTTTAGGGACTCAGATCATTAGCCAAAAATACTGAAATGACAGATCAAATTTTTCACTCCATTTTTGGAATTTTTATTTTATATTTTTCCTTTCATTTTTCTTACTTTCCACAAGATAGTCCACAGACTTTGTGATCCATAATTAATTAGGGTGCGGTTTGTATAGAACCGAGGCTCTAAACAATCAAAGTAAAGCGCCCCTTCAAATAGACTCGAAACATATTTCAATATTGGAAATATTTGTGATAGCATTAAAATATATTTGTATTTTTAATTATAACATTTAAAGCTTAAAAAATAGTGTAGATCGAGCCAATCTTTAAAAACTTGAAAATTTGTAGTAAAAAAAGTGTTACAAGATGCACTATTTCCAAAATTTGAAATCCATTTTTTTCTCATGTCCAGGCATCTTGATGTCGAGATAATCAGTTTGAGGATATTGGTCATCAAAACAACATCTTCTAGTGAAATTTTTGAGGTGGGCTCTAATTTGATCGTTTAGAGCATCGGCTCTACATAAACTTTTTCCATTATATTATCTTTCATTTTCATTTTCATGTATACATGCTCCGCCATGTTGATTAAAAAAATCGCCATTTCGACCCAAAATCAATATCAGATCAAGGTGGCAGATGTTTCCATATGGAAATTTCTCGAAATTGGCCACTTTCCTTAATTTTTTGCCAAAAGATATTCTATTTCTTCGGGAGTGTATTGTCAATTTACTCCCTATGATTAGTTTTAAGACCCCAAATTTTGGGGATATAACCTCTTTAACACATAGATTGACCTCAATAAAAAAAAAAAAATACCTAATTGCATTCTCAAAGCACTTTTAAAAAAAAAAGTCTCAAGATTGAATAAAAACCGTCCAATTTTTGGAGAGTGAGATCTAAGTGTTAAAAAACTAAAAATTCAAATTTTTTTTTTTTTTTATAAAAATAATCATCTAGTGATTCTAAGGTGGTTCCAAAAATTTAGATTAAAAAAAAATCCTCCTCATCTAATAATCGAGGGAGTAGAAGTAAACTCTGCTTCCGAGGGAACATAATATAGGTGTTTTTACACTTTCGTGGTTCGGTAGACTTAGGAATGTGTGATTATCAGAATCTCAGACACTACAAGTCGGGTCTGATTCAGATTTTCTAAACATCATTGTAAACAACTTCCAAGAGCACTAAAATTGCTAATTATCACCTCTCATTCACCAATAAATTTCCAAATAATGTAGGAATGAAAACAAGGGTTCACTATGTCTTAGATTGATTAAATACTCACAAATGATGTATACAAATAAGTGCATGTAGCATACTCATACAGGACCACACTATATACTTCCTCATGCATAAATATTTCCTACAAGGATTTTTCACCATGAATATTTAGCATCCTCTTTAGAGTCACAAGAGTATTCTCAAAAGCTATAATTTGGATTCTAAATAGGTAATTTCTTAACGTTAAATCTGAGTTTTGAACTCTTAGATATTTATATTTTTGGTGGTTCCTATTCAATCATCATCATCATTATCGTTCAAGCTTTATTCTAATTATTTGAGGACGGCTACATGAGTCATGTTCCTCCACTTTTCTTTATCAACTAAAAGTCACCATGGCTTTTCTTACTACTTTTGTTCTTGTCCTTTTAGGCTTTCTCCTTGCCTTTTTAGAGTTTCCACTTGAATCAAATTGCACCTCCCCACTGGTGTTGTATTAGGTCTAGAAAGCATACGACCAACCCACCTATCGTCCCCTCATTTATGGCAAAGGTTACTCTTAATATTGTGTTCTTATAGTATTTATCATTTAATATTTTTTTATAATAAATTCTCAAGCTTTTGTTGAGCTTGTCTTTAGGTGAGCTTGTCTTTAGGTCCCTATTGAATCTTAAGACAATAAATACGTTATGGAGACTAAAATGTGTTAAAAAGGTTTTCTATGAGATTAGTCGCTAGGTCGAAGAAAGGAGGTTTCATAGATTAACCTTAATAAAAATTTATTTTCTAATTGTATAGTCTATACACTTGAAAAAAATAACGTCTCGATAGATATTGAATAAGGACCATCCAATTTTTAGACAATGAAATCTAATCGTTAGAAACTCAAATTTCAATTTTTTTTCGAGAATAATCATCTACTCTTTGCAAATAGGTCAAATTATGCTCCTGAGAGAGCATAGTACACGCGCTCATCCCACCATCTCCCTATATCATAGAGACCATTTATACATGTAATAAAGAGATCAAATGACTTGTACCCGTTAGATGCCAAATCCAAAAGCTTCGGGTAAAGTTAAAAAACACCTTCGTTTAAACTAGTGAGATAGTTTTTTTTAGTGGTGTCTCTCTTTAGTAAGGGCACAAGCGTTAGGGGTGGAAATGAGTCGGGTTGGGTCCGGGTTTGGGTCCGGTTGGACCCAGACTCGGATTTGAAAATGTGATATGAGACCCAGGCTTGGATTCAAATTCACCAAACCCAGACCGGGACCCGGACCGAGACCTACTGAACCCGACCCAAATTAAAATATCTATATATTTAACTATATTTAAATATATTTATTTATTATGACTCAAAAAATATTATCAGACCCACACCCGATCGTACCCTGCACCGAAAAAGTGTTCGGGTGCAAGATTTGGACGCGTACCCACAGGCATCGGGTCTACACCCGAAGTCCGGGTCCATTGCCACTCAAGCGTGGTCGTACAGGGATGACATGCTCCCGCGGGGAGATACAGTCTCTTGACTTTACGTGGAGAACAATCGCGCTTCCGGGACGACTGCTCTCGCGCTGCGCTCTACCTTTCAGAGAAATCGAGGCATTTCCAGCTTTTCGAGCCAGCGCCCTGGTAGCTCCAAGGTGAGGCTTTTATCTGTTATCTTTTATTTTGAAAAAAAATTTCCATTAGCTTCCTCTATTTTGATTCTCTCTAGGTCTTAAAATTGCTTGATATCCAATGAATCTCTGGCTTTGAGATAGGTTTCTACTTTTAATTTTTTTTTTCGTTTTTTTTGGATTTTTTTCCTGATCTTTTGGCTGAATTTTAGGCAATTATGGAGAATATGTGAGTTTGTTGTGCTTGATCCAAGGTTTCTGATGTCATTCCCCATATAATTTCTTCCTGCATTGTTTTTTTTTTTTGGTTATTTCTTGTGGTTTTTGTTTTATTTCTCATTAGATTTGCATTTGTGGAGATTTCTCATTTAGGTTTGTGTTGATATAGTGCAGTGCTTTTCTCTGTAAATTTTCAATTCTAGTATGGATTCTGGGGCTTTTCTATGGTTTATCTTAACATTTGGCGGTTGTTTTGTGTTTTTATTTTTGTGGACATTAATTTCTGAAGAAATTTGTCCTTTGATCACTTCTCCCAGTAAAAATGTGGTCCGTTTTTTCCTAAAAGAATTCTGGTTCTTTTTTACCTCTCCTTTTGAAATTTCCTTTATTAAGGGAAATCAAATCTGTGAAGTGTAATGCATCCCCATAGTGCCAATGCTTGGTAATCGTGGTCTCTTTTTTATCTCTCGCTCCCATGAGTGGGAAAACATACTTTTGTGGTTGTTATTGAAAGAACTAGGTTAAACTAATTAAGAAAATACCAACCGGAATCCTGGTTCTTCTGAGAAATTTAAATTTAAATCTTTCAAGAAGGATGCTGTTTAGTTCTTTTTTTATTTGAGTTTCGCGAGAATTTGAAATTGAAACCTACCAACTGAGGTTTTTGAGGATTTGTTGCTTTTTTATCCTTTGTAATTTTTGTAGTAGGTTAGTTTTTGTATAATTTGGAAATTTTCTGTTGACCTTTTTTTATATTCCTTAATCAAATGCTGAGAGAACTTGAACTGTCTCGGAATGAAAAGAACGTTGTTTTAAAATTCAAATACAAATTGAATAGTATCACTAACTCAAAACTTTAGTTCTTTTGTACTGTAATGCATTGTTGTAATGTTTGTTTGCTGTTAGTTGTATAGTAATCGTATGAGAGGTGGTTCAATCCATATTCTGGTTAAAAGAAGTCATTTTATTCGGGGTGGGGTTAGGGGGCTTGAATTTCTTGGTTAATGATTTTTAAATATTTATTTTGATCATCAATTGCTGATAAAATAGTCCTTTCTGTACTTGTTAGAATACTGCTCATGATTTTTCTTGATTGGAAATCTCTCAGAGTTTTGCATTTCATTCCATTAATTAATGAGGGTAGTTGAATTGTGAAGTGTCATGCATCTTGTCATTCAAAATATCTAAGAAATGATGCTCTGTTGCCGCATTTCTTTATTTAATTTCCTGAAATGTCTCTCTTCAAGCATGTTGAATAAAATGCAAAAGAACACCAAGTCCTGATTCTCCTGAGAAATTGGAATTCAAAGCTTTTAAGATAGATGTCACGTATTTCTAATTTTAGTTGAGTTTCTTGGGAGTTCAAAATGAAACCTATTTACTGTTGCTTTTCAGAAATGAGGGCTTATTGGCCTTTGCTGTTTTGCAATGGATTCATGACTAATTGATCTATTCATGATGTATTTCAGTTATTTGTTTATGTAAATGAATACAGCATCATTTTGTTAATTTCCGAATTGCATACTGAAAGTATCTGGAACATCTTGGGTGTGACTGACTCTAATTCAAAGATTTTATGTATTAAATAGACCATTAACTTGGCATTTTACTTCCTATTAATGGGAAAGCAGTAACAATTCCATGTCATTTTCTCACAGCAGCTATCATTATGAAATTTCATATGGCAAAGTCTGTATCTGCAAGCTTATTAAGAAAAAGAAAATCTAGTGTGTTGAAATGCATTTAGATGCTTGTATGTAGGCTCAGTAAAACATGTGTATGTTTCATCATGAGAAACATCAATAACTGCAACTTAAAACACTTATGAGCCCTTAATTGAGATCATCTTATGTTAGAGTGGACATCTATACCTCTCCTGAGAAGTGCTAAAACCAATTCCAATAGCGGGTACGAAATTGTCTTAGATTTGTCACTTGGCCTGGTTGACTATCTAGAAGGAGACAAACATTGCAATTCAGGAAGCATAACCTGAACTATTGAAAAGAGTACGTATATATTACCTGCAGGAAAAGCATACAATTTGTGGACCCTCACATCAACATGTGATAAAGGCCCCTGTAGATCCCAGCCAGGATGGCTGGCATAATGGTGACATCGGTACCCTGCCAGAGAGAAGGCAAGGGAAAAGAGAGACGATGGGACAATACTCCTCTCTGTAGGGAAAAGTATTAGTCCAACTAGATAGAAGTAGAAGACCCTTGTCTTGTTCTTGAGGGATAACCCTATCTTATTTCTAACTACACACTCCAAGTCAACCCATTTGATCCTGGGAGGAAAAGCAGATCCTAAATTTTCTACCCACATGGGCTTGGTTATAGCTAGAGGTTAAAGGTTGATAGGGGTACCTAAGAGCCATAGGACCGATATTGGCGCTGTCTCATCTAAGGTTTGTGTACCCTCGCGGAGGAGAAAAAATATTGGTCTTAGGGATGAATCTTTCTGAAAGCTTAAAATTAACATGGAGTTCGCCATTTTAAAGAGCCCCCTCAAGAAGGATGAAAGCTCGACCCTCGTGAAGGCAGTAGACAATTAGTCTCCGAACCACATAGGGATGAGCGGGAAGCCTTGCACCCTATGACTATATGAGGCTTCTCACCAGAAATAATATGATTAAAAATGTGTTCAGGAATGCTCAAAGGGAAGGAAGGTACCTTATCAAAAGAGGGATGAACGGCAGCTTTACCTTTAGAAGAATGGGTACCTATACCTTTCAAAGAAGGCTCTTGCTTCTTGTCTTTGGAGGCCATGGAAGGCCTGAGAATCACATCTAGAGTTGAGATGGACAAGAAGAATAAAATATTACAACAAGGCTGAATTTAACCATGTCTCGAAATAAGAAGAGCTGTACTGGTACCAAAGATCCATAACAAAATGGCTCAAAGAGGGGGATAGGAACATGACCTATTTTCACAAAATAGCCAGTAGCCATAGGAGATCTAAATCCATTGTCCTAATTATGGATGGTGATCGGTTCACCTGAAATCAATGGAGTCATCACGTCTGGAGAGACCCTTCACTGACACACCGGAAACCCAACCCAATTAAGAGCCATCTCGAGGAAACAATCTGAATGGCTGGGGAGACCCTTCACTAACAAAAAAATCTGCAGAGTCATTGCTGATCTGACTAAGACAAAGTGTCCGGATTGGATGGATTCCTGTTGCCCTCTTCCTCAGTTTCGGGAGGTTCTGCCCTGGACATCTTTATCCCTTTTCTCTGAATCTTATCACAGAGGAACCATCAATAAAGGCATGAATTGAACATCTATTGCCTTAGTTCCAAACGTGGACAGGGCAGTGGTGTTAGACTTCAGACCCATCAGCCTGCTGAAGGCTCTTAATAATCCTTTCTAAGGTTCTGGCTACCCAACTAAGGCAGGTCCGAAGCAGCGCTATGTCACCAAACCAAATTGCTTTTGAAAGATCATCAAATACTTGGCGGAGTTGTCATAGCCAATGAATGCCTATACTACAAGCACCAAACTAAAGCCCCTGTCCTTGTTCTAAAACTGGATTGGGTGTTCCTAAGATGTTTGAACCAGGTATGGGAATGAAGATCGACATGATCAAGACCAAACTCATTGGGGGTGCGTGTAGAAGAGGGGCTTGTTTTGAATCTCACCAAGAGGATAGGATGTGGAACTGATTCCATCTCTAACAAATACTCTGGCCTCCCACTCTGGCCTCGTGAAACGAGCAAAGTGCGATGGGATGGGATTGTTGGGAGGGTTGAGAAGAGATTTTTTTTTAATGCTAAGAGAACAGATTGTTAGCTTGGAAAGGACGGTTCCTTCCCATTGGAGGAAGACTTACTCTGATAAAAGCTGCCCTTTTGAAGATTCCATTCTACTAAATATTCCTTTTCAGGATGTCCTGATTGGTCTCTTAAAGGATAGATAATTTCATCAGGAACGTTCAATGGGCAGACAATGGAGAAAGCCTCAAATTCCACCTTGTGAAATGGGATACAGTCTACAAGTCCAAGAAAGAGGAACGTTAAGGCCTAAGAAATCTTAAGGACACGATTTTACATCTTTTAGGAATATGATGGTGGTGTTTTGCCACAGAAGAAGGCCACAAACATGGGCTCAATGACTCGAGTGGTTGCCAAAGGGTTCCCCAAATAGCAGGTGTCGGGGATTTGGAAAGCCATCCTCACTGCTTACTAAAGTTTTTACTCTCCGGTGAATAAGTCAAAACAGACAATCCAATTAGGATGTCGAAAGACAAGTGGTTAGGGGACTGTGCATTGGAAAGTTGGTTCCCATCTTGATTTGTCGTGCTATTGGACCAAGATATCACAGTGTGACAGTCTTATGAGAACATTGGAGGCAACTTGGTCTGATCCCCTAAATTTATAGTATACCTCTCATAAGACAAGATGCATAACTTGTGTGCTTAATGATCATACTGAATGCCCATTTCATTTCACAAAGATGGAGTGACATAACGGTATGGGAACCTTCACCCTGCCATCTAATTTACCTCTACCTAGAGGGGCATCCACAAGAGTTTCAAGCAAGGTTTGGAGCATTCCTGTTTCAACAATTATACAAGTGACCTCCTGGTTGCTGTAAGCAAAATATTCTTGTGTCGGACAACCTTCAGTGAAGAGGTATTTAGCAAACTGTTGCGACATGCTCAAAAATAGCATTGAAACCATAGATGATCTATTCTTACACTGCCCCTTTAGCTGTTTGGCATGGTTATCAAATACAGATTTGTTCAATATGTGTTGGGATACTCCTGAGTCGGTGCACTAGTTGTTTGTTACCTGCTTCTCAG